TTTATTAACAAAATACTATTGGTTATTATGTTTTCTTATAAAATTACTATAAAATCAATAGTATTTTATTAATAAAACGTTATCCAGTGGTCCAAATGAAATGATTTTTGGTATTATTGGATTCATCTCACAGAGACAAATCGAATAGTACCAAAATCATCCTGATTGGATTACTGGGTCATAATATATCCACATTTAGTAAAATTTTATATATAAACATATGAATTTTTAAAAATTTTTTATATAGTCTAGGGGGGTCAAGAGCTACTATATAGGGGTACATAACATTATATATGGATGCCCTCTAAATATAAGAAGAAGATAGAAAATGAAGAAAAAGATAATGATGATGATGATAATGATGGTGGTGGAGATAATAGTAAAGATGATAATGAAGATAATGATGAAGATAATGGTAGAGATGATAATAGAGATGATGATGATGATAATGATAATAATTATAATGATAATAATGGAGATAATAATGATAAAAAGAACAATGAGGAATATAGATTAGAAAAAATAGATAATAAATATAAATATTGTAGAGCTTTAAAATGGGAGAGAGAAAAACTAGGACTTTGCTGCATGAATTGTAAAGTTATATTAGCACTACTTCTTGCACCACCACCAGCAATTTATAAATTGCTTACAGAAAAAAATCCTATATCTAAATTACCTTTTGTTAAAAAAGCAATAGCATATAATCAAGTATTTGCTTTTATATCAATTGGTACAAAGTTAGATAAAGATGTTGCCAATGAAAAAAAAGGAGCTTAAAATTATAGAATTTAGGATCAGCATTATCATTAAATTAGTTTATGTTTGCCAAACCAAGGAGAACTACCACAATTTTTCTAAATATATTTTCATGATTTTACAAATATTAAAGCACAAATTGATAGAAGACATGAAGTAATGGAAGAAAAATTAAATAAAGACATGTTAAAAGAAATTCAAGAGAGATTAATAGAATTCAATCCTTTTGTTAATACTTATATACAAGCAGGAAATGTACAAGCAAGTCTTATTTATATTTTAATACATAATATGTATAACAGGGATATGAGACAATATAATATACCAACAACTGATGAAGTAGTAGCAATTTGTTTACTGATACAAAAATGTAAGAAAGAAATATTCATATTTATAGATATGATGAAAAATTTCAAAAAATCTCTAAATTAAATAGTGCATATAATTCTTTACAATATTCTTTGCTATTTCCAAGTAGAGAATATAGTTGGCATTTAGGAATATTAAGAAAAATGAAATACAAATTGTTAAACTAGCTGATAAAGGTAATGATAATGATGATAATAAAAGTGAAATTGATAATTTATATTGGACTGATGAAAAAATAATAGTAGCAAACAAAGAATGTTTAGAAAAAGAAAGCCAAAAAAAACTTTCGAAAATATTTCTAAAGAATACGAAATTTCTGAAATTGAAACTGAAGAAAGTGGAACCTCAAAACAAGTATTTAATATTAACTTTGATAATTTACTAAAAAAACATCACAAAGTAAAACAGGATTATCAAGTTTTTAGAATCTGCAACTATTAGAAGTTCATCAAGTATGGATATTGATGAAAATATTAATATAGGTGATAAAGAATATTTGAGAAAAGATTATCTATAAAACAAGAAAAAAGAAAAGTTGCAAAAATTGAAGAAGAAGAAAAAGATAATAATAATAATAATGATAATGATGATAATAATAATAACGATGATTCTGATAATCTTGTGATAAAGAAAAGTATATATGCTATATCAAGATGAATTTGATCAAGAAGCAAATACTGAATCTGAAAGTGAATCTGATGATAATGATAGCAATGAAGGACTATCAAAGATTCAACAACAACAAAAAAAGAAAAAAAACAATAATAACTATTAGAAAGTTTGCAGTAGATTTATAATTAAAAACTTAAACAAAAATGATAGTATTCTGCTTCTTTCAGGCAGATTGTTTTAACAATATATAATAGACCAGTATATAAAGTGGAAAACAAATAATTTAAGATAATATTGTTACAGAGTAAAGCCTTCTTAATTTACTCTATAATAATGACACGGCACAGAGAATCCTTTCATAGGTATATGCGGTGTCCAAGAGGTAAGTATAGCTTCTTTTCTCTTTAAGAAACTATACCCTTCTCTAAGGCAGTTTGTGGGAAAATACAATAACAATAATAACTTTATTAACACAAGAGAGATAAACCTTGCCTGTAGGAATTACTCTAGAGGGGGAGTATCTAAACAGTTTATAGTCAAAGAATCATTTATTAAATATAAAGAATACAAGGCTATCCTTGAGTGCATCTATTTGCGCAACAGATTATGTAATGTTTTGTGACAATCTACTGCATTGTTCTACATACACAGCCAATCAGAATTGATCACAAGATCATGAATTTGTATATAACGATTTAACATAACTTAATATTCTTTTATACTTGATGCAAAGAAACATTCTAGCAGAGCTTACCATAACCGTTAAGAAAAAAAATTTAGAAATAGTTTAAATTCCATAAGAAAGCTAAGTGATATACAAAACTATAGTAAATATCATATAATAACAGCTACTCAATCTTTAAA